AACACGTCTCCTTCCTGAGTAGTATGACGGCTGCATGGACCCATGGTGTTTATACTTGCATACTATTGTTTGTACAGATGAACGTGGTACCTTCAGGCGTTTGGAAATTGCTCCCAAGGATGAACCAGATTTGTGGAGGTCTACATTTATTTTTCTGAGGTCTTGGCTGATTTCTTTTGATTTTCCCATGATGTCAAGCAAAGAGGCACTGAGTTTGAAGGTAGGCCTCGAAATACATCCACAGGTACACCTCCAATTGACTCAAATTATGTCAATTAGCCTATCAGAAGCATCTAAAGCCATGACATCATTTTCTGGAATTTTCCAAGCTGTTTAAAGGCACAGTCAACTTAGTGTATGTGAACTTCTGACCAACTGGAATTGGGATACAGTGAATTATAAGTGAAATAATCTGTCTGTAAACAATTGTTGGACAAAGTAGATGTCCTAACCGACTTGCCAAAACTATAGTTTGTTAACAAGAAATTTGTGGAGTGGTTGAAAAACGAGTTTTAATGATTCCAACCTAAGTGTATGTAAACTTCCGACTTCAACTGTACATCATTGATATTACTGCAAAATCCAATCTGTGATACCATATAGTAGTCAAATCAGAACTTCCAGAAATTAGATTTCCAAGCTGATACTGTCTGTGTGTTATTGGCCCTTTCCCCCAGCATCTCCACTTTGGCTCATCTGCAGATATTCATGTTTCTGTGTTGCGTGTGTGAGTGGAATTCTAATGGTTGGATACAGGGTTCTGATTCTAAGAGGATCAGTGTAATCTGCTGCGATCTTTTAGACTGAAACGGTCCGATGTTAAATCATTTAAATAATTAACATAAATGGTATTGAAGGTACCTCAAAGCTTTTTTGTTTTTATGTTTTTTAGAAAGCGTTTTGAGATACTTTGTCGGGCTTGATTTGGCAAGAGGGCTGCATTCCAATAATCTGTCCACTCAACTCCTGTGTTGTGATAAGTCGTGTTGACTCCAGTACGCTCATTAACGCTGGAGCTACAGTCCTTGTTCAGGCACAGGTAGGGTGGAGTGAAGGGTTCTAATCTGAACCTCCAATTAAGACTGAGCAGGTTGACAGGAATTATCATGGTTAATTTACCATCATTTGTGTGTATTGACACCAAGCTGAAGAGAAACAGTCAAGAGAAATTAGCTTCTCAAGAGCTACTAAAAATAAAGCTGCAATTGAATCGATGACTCCTGTGGGAGTGTGAAAAAGTATGACGTGATGACTATTTTCTGTAATAGTTTTTGGCCAGAGTCTGAACCCATTACCCTTGGTTAAGTGCTCTTAAAAACTGAGCCGGTCTTCTTCCTCTGAAACTGACATTCATCAATATACTGTAGGAGCATCATGCCATTGAATTCTCTTGAAATATTATTGATTGTGGCTAAAATGACAAATTTAAAGCATTTTGGGTGTATCTTCTCTTTGGTGTACTCTTAAGTGATTATCAGACCTCTAAGATCGAAAAAGAAAAAGACCAAGCTCCATTTCCACTCAATATGGACCACTATAGATCTTCCAGTAAAACCACCAAATACAGTATGTGGTCATTATTTTACAGTGGTCAGTTAGAGGTGGATTTGGGTTCAGCAGGGCCTTTGCTAAGGCTATCAATGTTCATGTTTTTTTAAGAATTGACCTTTTGAGTGAAAATCGTATCACATGATCTCAGCAGAGGAGGGCTTCACTGCTGTAAGTGAGGTCTGAATGACCAAGTTGTTGTCATCATCTTCATAATCAACATCATCACTTTCATCCTTATCATAGTCATAATCATCATCTGTTTCTTCCTCTCAGATCCTGCCTCCCTCTTTTTCCATTAGGATGTTGCAGTGTGGTCCCCCCCCCCCCCCCCCCCCCCCTCAGTCCTCCTGCCAGGAGCTGTTACAGTTCCCCCTTACACCCTCCTCTCCTGCCCCCCCCCCCCCCCCCCCCCCAGCCAGAGGAGAAAGCGGCGATAATGTCAGAAACAATTAGAAAAACGGGCCGTTACAGCAGCTCTCAACAGGGCCACAGAACTGTGCTCTCTTGAGACACACAGCCAGGTCTGCTAATCTCGCCTATTTACAGTTGAAGTCGGAAATTTACATACACTTAGGTTGGAGTCATTAAAACTCGTTTTTCAACCACTCAACAAATTTCTTGTTAACAAACTATAGTTTTGGCAAGTCGGTTAGGACATCTACTTTGTACAAGTAATTTTCCAACAATTGTTTACAGACAGATTATTTCACTTATAATTCACTGTATCCCAATTCCAGTGGGTCAGAAGTTTACATACACTAAATTGACTGTGCCTTTAAACAGCTTGGAAAATTCCAGAAAATGATGTCATAGCTTTAGAAGCTTCTGATAGGCTAATTGACATCATTTGAGTCAATTGGAGGTGTACCTGTGGATGTATTTCAAGGCCTACCTTCGAACTCAGTGCCTCTTTGCTTGACATCATGGGAAAATCAAAAGAAATCAGCCAAGACCTCAGAAACAAAATTGTAGACCTCCACAAGTCTGGTTCATCCTTGGGAGCAATTTCCAAACGCCTGAAGGTACCACGTTCATCTGTACAAACAATAGTATGCAAGTATAAACACCATGGGACCACACAGCCGTCATACCGCTCAGGAAGGAGACGCGTTCTGTCTCCTAGAGATGAACGTACTTTGGTGCGAAAAGTGCAAATCAATCCCAGAACAACAGCAAAGGACCTTGTGAAGATGCTGGAGGAAACAGGTACAAAAGTATCTATATCCACAGTAAAACGAGTCCTATAACTTCCAAAGTTGTGGCAAAATGGCTTAAGGGCAACAAAGTCAAGGTATTGGAGTGGCCATCACAAAGCCCTGACCTCAATCCTATAGAAAATCTGTGGGCAGAACTGAAAAAGCGTGTGCGAGCAAGGAGGCCTACAAACCTGACTCAGTTACACCAGCTCTGTCAGGTGGAATGGGCCAAACTTCACCCAACTTATTGTGGGAAGCTTGTGGAAGGCTACCCAAAACGTTTGACCCAAGTTAAACAATTTAAAGGCAATGCTACCAAATACAAATTGAGTGTATGTAATCTTCTGACCCACTGGGAATGTGATGAAATAAATAAAAGCTGAAATAAATCATTCTCTCTACTATTATTCTGACATTTCACATTCTTAAAATAAAGTGGTGATCCTAACTGACCTAAAACAGGGAATTTTTACTAGGATTAAATGTCAGGAATTGTGAAAAACTGAGTTTAAATGTACAGTTGAAGTCGGAAGTTTACATACACCTTAGCCAAATACATTTAAACTCAGTTACTTGCATACTATTGTTTGTACAGATGAACGTGGTACCTTCAGGCGTTTGGAAATTGCTCCCAAGGATGAACCAGACTTGTGGTGGTCTACAATTATTTTTCTGAGGTCTTGGCTGATTTCTTTTGATTTTCCCAAGATGTCAAGCAAAATTGGCAATGATTTTGAAGGTAGGACTCAAAATACATCCACAGGTACACCTCCAATTGACTCAAATGATGTCAATTAGCCTTTCAGAAGCTTCTAAAGCCATGGAATTTTCCAAGCTGTTTAAAGGCACAGTCAACTTAGTGTATGTAAACTTCTGACCAACTGGAATTGGGATACAGTGAATTATAAGTGAAATAATCTGTCTGTAAACAATTTTTGGAAAAAGTACTTGTGTCATGCACAAAGTAGATGTCCTAACCGACTTGCCAAAACGATTGTTTGTTAACATGAAATTTGTGGAGTGGTTGAAAAACGAGTTTTAATGACTCCAACCTAAGTGTATCTAAACTTCCGACTTCAACTGTATTTGGCTAAGGTGTATGTAAACTTCTGACTTCAACTGTATGTTGTGTTTAACAGTGCTGTAGATCATCAGTGTGTTTCAGAGGGAGACCCAGGAGACAGGGCCAGCTGACACAGAGGCACAGGTCTGTTCACTGTTCCAGGTTAGGTGTCCTGGGTCAAACGTGTGGCACTATGTAGTTTTTACCATGTCTGGATTTTCAGATGTGACGTGGAGTCAAACAAGGATTAAAGATGGTAGAACTGTTGGTGGCTTTTCCATGGTCATGTTCAACAGAAATCTCTTCATTCCCTCTCAATGTTATTTCCCATCCTAAAATGGTGGAACTCTGTTGACCCCTTAATGTGTCCTTTTGGATGATCCTGGTGCCACAACATGAAAAGCCCAAAAGCATGAATCACAGAGAGACTGTACTATTAATATTAATATCTGAGGGGAGAGGGTGATAATGTGTGTGTTTATGTTCCGAGTCTTGAAGATTTTGTGATGAACCCAAGAGGCACTCTAAATGAGTCTGACACCCCTGACACCATAGGGTGTGTGTGTGTATTTTTGTTGTTGTATATCTTTTGGGGGGATCCCCATTGGCTGTTGCTAAAGCAGCAGCTACTCTTCCTGGGGTCTTCCTGTGTGAGTGTGTGACACTGTGAGCAAATGTGTGTGTGCCACTGTGAGTGTGTTTGACTGTCTAGGGAGTGCTCCACAGTCTTCCTAACCTTACCCACAAAGTGAAGATGCTGCAAGCATGAGAGCTCAAACACAGCCCTGAAGCACCTTAGTGACACCGGTTATATAATGCTCCTTCTCATGCATATTCATAATGCTTAGAAAAACAAGTTGATATCCTCTTTATGAATGATTTCAAGTTCATTATCAACCACTATGCTCTGAATTTCTTTTTTTTCTTCTCATCTGCTTTTTCAGTAAAGAGCTGAGTGAGCTATATCTAATTGAAATAAACTATTTAGATTCAGATTACATAATTTATTACCATGTTTCAAGTTTTTCCAAGTTGTATAATGACTTGAAGATGAAAAATAAATAGAAAGGCGATTTCCATTCTCTCCATAGAATAAATGTCCAGCGCTGCTCTCCCTATCCAGTACTAGTGATGGTAGCAGTCAGACAGAGGTGATACACTTGGTGGTGCTGGTCAGACACACTCCACAATCACACCTCAGGGCTACAGGGTAGGTGTACATGGGGTCCATGGTTGGCTGAGCAGTTAGGCAGCTGCACCGTCACCAGGCGGGTCTCGTTGTAGGTACACACACGCTTGTAGGACTCTATGCAGGGAGGGTCCAGGACAGGCTTCTGAAGAGACACACACAGATACAAGGTACATTTTGATTAACATGTTCATTTATTCAACAATCTCCACAATGAAGTTACTCCATTTGAAGTACAGTTTATGATAAATTAGTTTATAATAAATTAGTTTATTATTTACTTCATTTTGTCAAGGGTGGATTTAGCCGTGATACTGTGATGCATTGTTCTGCAATAATCATCATACTGTAGTTCAGTTATTCATAATGAAAATGTTTACAGAGTTTGCTGACATCTACTGGTTTCTAACAGTTATCTGCAGTCTGACTGCATAGGACTCTCTCCTGCTCTCCAGCCTCACCTCCCAGGTCTCACAGCGCCCCCAGCAGGCGTCCGTGGTGATGTGCAGCCCTCCACAGCCTGGTTTCCTGGCCAGGAAGGTACACTCCCAATGGCACAGCCAATGAAGCGGAACAGGTTGACAGCTGAAGCCTGGCTCAGTGTCTCTGGGTGAAGCCATGATCACAGCACTGTACAGCACAGCAGCACAGCGCAGCACACCACAGGGTTATCTCTAATGCCTAACATGTTATGCTCTCTCTATATCTCACTTTTATCGAAGTCTTCAAATAGTTAGTGTATAGCAAGTTAATGTGGTGAGTATTTTTTGACAATATTGTTGGTATTTTAATGAAACCAATCAACTGAAGCAAACTTAGATTGTTGAAAAAAGTTATTAAGCAAAATCTTAAAAAATGAAATATTCCAGAGATCTCTGTGATTCCTGACCCTAACTCCATAAAGCGTAAGTGTGACTGATCTAACTAAAGTGTTATAATTCACCACTGAGTACCTCTCCTCTGGGTCATCTGGGCACACAACTGGTCTCACTGCAGTAGATCTCCACTGAAGAGGACTACCACTGAACCTCTGAATCAGGAGCTGCAGTAACTCCGGTAGCTGTGATGTCTCTGACAGCAGAAACACCTGCTAATGGATCCCAGGGAGGAACTCCCAGCTATTTATCCCAGCATGTCATGTCAATCAGGAGCCAGTCAGGGACTCTCTTGCCAGAGAGCCAGGCTCCTGTCTGATCCCCCTTAGGCCTTTGTACCTCCTCTACCTCCCTACCCCATCAGCACAGTCACCAGTGAACTACAGGCCATTAGCCTGATTAGGGACTGTGGCTGCTTCTTTGTTTATAGCCATCCACATGGAAGAGGGGGGAAACACACTCATACCTGTAGATCTACACCCAGGCTAATTTAGCTGAAGGCCCTCAGGAGCTGTTCTTACAGGTGAGATCCTTGCCCTGGAGCGCTAACTAACCAGTGTTTTCTTATCCATTTCAGTCTGTAAGTGTAATTACATTTTGTAAATATTTATTGTTATTTTCACAGAGCACTTACTGTAGCTCTAATTTGGATGTTTGGTGTGTGGAGCCCATGGAGACAGAGGAGTATTGTACGGTCTGGTCTGATCTGTTGATGTGCCCTTGAGCAAGGCACTTAACCCTAATTGCTCCTGTAAGTCACTCTGGATAAGAGCGTCTGAGAGCGGAGAGAGAGAGAGACGAGAAGACCTGAGGGTTTATTTGGATGAGTAAATACTTCGTTCATCATGAAATGACTATCTCCCAAAGCCCTCAGGATACTGGGGATCGGAGCAGAAGAACTCAAGTAGAATTCAAGTACTTTAGGAAATGAACCTCAACCTCCACCCTATTACAGTTAGATTAGAGTAGCAGGGAGGGAGGAGGAGTCAGGGAGGATAGGTCTCCACCTGATCTCAGTCGTCTAAGCCACCTCCTCCCTTCCTAGATATCACATATTACCAGGTATTTTCTAAAGAGTACTAAAGCTCAAGCCATGTTTTAAAGCTCAAATCAGGTTTTCTAATACCTGTATATCTCTGGCTCTGGTTAAGATGATAAATGAGTGACCTCTTGTTCCTGCTGGCAGTACTGACTATTCCCATAAAGCAAAGGACCTCATCCAACCATGGATGTTTAGTTAATGACACGGTATGAGTTGTTGGGTGAAAAAAATGGGCAATTCTCAAAAACAATACAATGATAGTGGACTGGCTGCCTTTGCTGTTGTCAATAATTGTACAAAAGGCCAGGTGTATATTATGTTTATTTCTTTTCTAAATTAAATCTGCAACAAATACTAATGTCATTACATGGCCCCTAGCAGACAGCAGACCTTAAACTGGTGAGACAGTTTAATTTTGCCCTCTGTTCCATGCATACAGCAATTGATATGTGACACTGACACTCTAGTCTCTAGTCAGCTATAGAGACCCACTGGAGGAGAGGGAGTGGAGTGTTTATTTGCTAGTGTGACATTATTCTGATTCCATTAAAGCCACTAGCCTGGCTGGCAATAGTGTTGCTGAAGGATATGCCAGATCTAAAAAGGACACTCTAAGCCTATCTATCCTTAAGATCTGAGTTTGGTGAAGTGGGTGGGTTTTACATCAATATAATAAATGAATTAGAAGAAGAAGAAGAAGAAGAAGAAGAAGAAGAGGAAGAAGAAGTTGATCTCGCAGTGACTATCATGTTGTTGTTCCACTGGCTACAATCGGATAGACTTTTGTAGGCTATAGCCCCCAACCCCTACAGGTGTGACAAAATGGGGAGTATGTCCGACCTGACTGGTTGCTATATTTAGCCGGCCGGCCTCCGGTCTGAAACCCACTCCTCGAGCGGTAGAGGCTTGCTTTACTATCTCCACATTTGCGCGCGTTGGGAGACGTGTAACTGTGCTGGTGCTACACAATTTATACTGTACAACGCGCTCTGTTTTCCCTATTCCAATCAATGAGTATTGTTATTGCCGGACCTGCATGTGATTGCCAGACAACTGAAACACGTCTATTCAACTTTGTTACATGTAAGTAGACACCTTTTGGCGAATGAATGATAGTGGCTTTCAGTTTGGAAAAGCGTAATATTACTTGACTTACTATGAAGAAGCTTTCGATGTTTGATTTTAGGCCTATTGTTACAATATTTGACTCTCTAGTCACCCCTCTATGTGTTCAGATAAGCATATTAGCCAATATGGCAACTCTAATTAGCATATTTGAGTTTTTGGTTCCCCACTCTATTTATAAATCGTGTAGCCTGTGGCCTATGATGAGTTTCTCATTAGGCAACTTCACCATATTTTGACATACTGGTCTGACTCAAGGACTCATTATGACAGTACAGAACTGGGGTTTGAAGCGCACTGGAGGCACACTGAACACGTGCCCACTAGTGCGCTATTTTAGGCAGTGACAAGTTCACAATGTCAACACGTCTGTCGTGCTATCTAGCATTTCGCGAGTCGAAGTGCACGCCATTTATTCTTAACTCGACCTATGTGAGGAATATTTAAAACTGTAATGGAAAAAACTATCCTCCAACTGGGCACGGACTTCAGTTCAACGTCTAGTTTTGATTGACATTTGGTTGAGTTGTCAACTAACGTGAATTCAACAACAAATTTCACCATGTCATTGGATTTAGGTTCATTACAAAATTCCCTTACATTGATGACTTTTTGCAAATCCAATCAGTTTTCCACGTTGATTCAACTTCATCACATTATATTTTGTTGTTGAAATGAAGTGGAAACGTTGATTCAACCGGTTTTTGCCCAATGGGCTACTAACAGGCTTACTTGTTGGATTATGTTTAACTGTTCTCTCAACAGTGTATGACAGGCATTTTTATGGGACACATTCAGTTTCATTCATGCAGCCAATTTGTAAGACAAGAACCTCTGATAGTTTCTTTATGAATGGAAATAATGCTACAGGTTATTTTTAGCTTTGTAAAAACATATTATACATCTACTTGAATTAGCATTGACTCTTTTTCCATGTCGATGAAGTTCTTGCATTACATACAATTGATCAAATGTACTGCTTTGTTGCTGTTCTATTTGAGATCTTTGCATATTACTTTTAAGTTGTTGATTGTTTTAAAAAAAACCGGTTTCAAAGGGGTTCTTCGGCTTTCCCCGTAGGAGAACCCTTTTTGGTTCCAGGTGGAACGCTTTTGGGTTCCATGTAGAACTCTCTGTGGAAAGAGTTCTACATGGAACCCAAAACGGTTAGACTTGGAACCAAAAATGGTACTTCAAAGGGTTCTCCTATGGGGACAACCGAATAACCCTTTTAGGTTCTAGATAGCACCTTTTTTTCTAAGTTCTTCTGAGCACATACCATAACATTAGGTCAGGGAAATGACACAGTCATGATTGATGTTGGATTGACTTGAGTTAGACCCAGCAAGTAGATGCTGTGAAAAGTCAGATGTCTGGCAAAGTTTACAATGACTTTACTTGTATTAAACTTTGCCTTGAAACTATCAGAGAGACCAAATATTTTGGATTGAATAAATTCAGAGATAGCCTAATCTGTCTCTGTTCGTTTTTACAAGGTGGAAGTTGATTTGTAAAACTTTTTCTTTGTATAAGAATTTCCCTCATGTAGACCTCCTCATGTACATTTAGTCAATCATAGAATCTGTTTGGACCTGAATGCTCATTAAATGATTATCTGACATGTAAAATCATGTTTCCTGGCTTGTAGAGCCGATGAATGTAAGCCACAACCAGAGGGAGATATACAGCACAAGCTCTGTCAAGTAATTGGTGTCTTTGCCAATAACAATGTCTCTGCATAGCATGCATATTGGATGTTAAATACTAACAATGAAATGCAGAACGGATCAGAGCAGTATGACTTAGTCATTATGAGTGGGAGTCATGTCCTTGACCCTATTGGCCACTCTGTTCCAGTGAGGCCTTGGCTAGGCTGGCTGAGTGGTTCTGATATAGGGAGGCCTGCCTGTCTGTCCTCTGCCTCCTCTGAGTCGGCAGATTAAAGAAAACAATGCCCTCTCTCTGTTGAACACTCATGTCTCTCCACAATCTTACACAGGATACTGTATATGCCCCAAACTGCCCTTCCCAGTGTCTCTCTCTTCAAATGAAACAAGATACTATTTTTCCTCACCCTCATCTCTCCCCATTTGTGTCACGTGTGTGTCAGAATGCATGGCTGGATGGGTGGAACTAGCGCAACACACTAGGATTTATTACCCCTGTTCAAACATGACAAAAGGTCTGTTTTTTGTTGCCTCTGTGGTAGCAGGACCAATTATATACACACTGAAACAGAACAAATGCGCACACACAAAATATTGTTCAATTTATGCAAAAGAGGACACCAGCACCTCTTCTTCTTTGATATCACCCTTGCATAGGCCCTTCCCCTCAGTCCTCCAAAAACAAAACAAAGAAGATTTAGGGCCATACTGTTGACGGAAATAGAAGTTATGGAGTGGACCCTTCATGGAGTGTAACCCTCCACCTCGTTGTCCATTCATGGAGTCATTAGGTGAATGGACTGGACATGTGTTCCAGTGGACAAGCATACAGTGCTATCTGTCTATGTCATCAAACAAATGTCTGAAGCCTGTGTTATTGTGTTATTGCCTCCCCACCCCCTGGTCTTTTTCCAGTGCAT